ATTCTAAGAACAAAATTTCATTTCCAAATTATTTGACATGTTACCACATATCAACCTTAAAACTGTCAAATAGAAAAAAAACCTGTATACAAAAAATGATGATTTCAGAAAAAAGGATATTGAATGCAAATAAATTATAAAAGGACATCTGGCACAGGAGACAGAGATAAAGAATTTAGATACAGGGCCTCCCCGGTGGCGCAGCGGTTGAGCACTGGGTTGCGAAGCTGCCCGCGGCCTCTGCAGCGCCGGTTCGATCCCCGGCTGCTCCCCGGCCACCAGAGGAGGGTCCCACATGGCGCGCAGACCTCTCCTGCCGCCCGCTGTCCCCTCAGCAGTGTCCTTCGGCCCTTCTGCCTGCTCTGCTCCCCGCTCTGGCTCTGGTGAATTCTCTCACCCTCCCGCGCTTCTGACTGTACCCAGTGCATGTATAAACAAAACAAACAAACAAATAAATAAATAAAACATGCCTCTATTAATAAAAAAAAAAAAAATTAAAAAAAAAAAAAAGAATTTAGATACACATGCACCTGACCATTAATACAAGCAATACAGGCCCTGATATAACACTCAAGATAATCAGTAGTTCTGGTATAAAATTTCTGAGAGCAGAAACAGTTTTTTCCATATCACATAAAATCCCTTTGGTAGTAACATCAACCTCTGAGAATATTAATAACTTACTTTATGTGAGTTATCTCATTAAATTTTCACAATAACTTTAATGTATTACTTAAACCCACTTTATAGATGAAGAAATACACTCTAAGAGATTTAAAAATCTCTCCAAAATCACACATTGGGAGGGCTGACATGCAAACCCAAACATGCTGAGTATGGGTGAATAACTAAAAAGAGGTTAGGCACTGAATGGCCAAGTCCCAGTCTCACCAAAAATTTCCAGATTAGACAGGTACAAAATTAGCAGAGTCTGGAGGACCTGAACATTGTCCCTGTTAATGGGGTGTTAATGCGGGTCAAAGCTGAGAGGGCACTTCTGAAGAGTGAGAGACAGTCATTTCCCTGGTGTGAATATATACCTTATATTTAATCTAAGTTTACATTTATATTCAGGTGCTAATTTATAATAAATAAATAAATAAATTTAAACACAATCCACTTATCAGACCCTTTCTACATGGGCAACATACAATTAGCCCCGAGGGGAAGTGGTAGGTCCACTGTGCGGTGCATAGAGGTAGCAGTACTTGAGAACACTTTCATTGACTTTCCATGTATTGCTCTATATGGCAGCTTCCATATTTTGGTTCGTAGGTTCATATGATTCTCAAATTGAGAATCTTTAAGTGTGATGGGATGAGATGGGATGTGACCCATCCTTTATTCAAAATTATCTACTAGCAACATATGTAAAAGAACTACCAAATTTAAAGATAAGTTATATATCATTTTTTTACTAAAAGATGTGTTTCAAATTTGTTTACCTTCCCCATGATATGTTGGTACTAAGTTACCTAGAAGATATTTTAAAAATATATAAATAAATGTCCTAATTTGCTCCCTCAAGATAAAGGTGACTTTTGAAAAGAGAGTAAAAGAAAAATAACTACATTTTGCTTTGAGCTATGGAGACAGTATTTTAAAAACAGATGTTTGAAAATGAAAATATGTGACTTTGCTGCCAAAATTAAATGAGCATACTATCTGTTTTCTAAAAAAAGGTACATATTTGTACACTTTAAAAACTAAGAAACACAATTTTATAGACTGCTTTAAAATCATCTACACAAGGGGTTTCATTGAATTCCAAGCCTCTCATAAAAATGTAACAAAGGATTATCTGTCTACATGTGTAAGAACCACTCACTGACATCATAGAAAGTAGAACTGTATCAAATCTTTCAACAGAACCTTTCTATTACCAAATATTAATAAAGGTTATAATTTCTCAAATGGAGACAAGTTTGCACGTCATTCATTTTGAATCTACTTATTTTTATTGGGTTTTTTTCAGTTTTTTCTTTTTTCATTAAAACCAAGTTTGAAAATAGCAACTTAGGACCAACATTTGAATCCCCAACACATTCAACATTTTCAAAACTATAAAGTACACTCAATCAAGTTTTGTTCACTAGTAATTATAAATAATAATAATGACAAAGTATATTTCATTAATATTTAAAATACTTTTAAAAATTATTATTTACTGTACCTGTCTTTTTGCATTTCCAAATTTGTATGGTTTGTAACAAATATACAGAATACTACATGCACAGACTTTTTTAGAGATTACTTTTTTGACACTGCATAAGACTATTTAGACATAAATCCATTTTGGGAAGATGAGTATTAATTTAATGAGTTAAAATTTAGTCTTGTGCTTAGGGGATCTGGGTCCAATTTAATCAGATTTAGAAAAAAATTAATAACGTATGCTTCTTCCACCAAAGTTTATGAAGGAAATTCTGTTAACTTCGTTCTTGAATAGTTTTGTCTTTAGCTATAAGGACAGAAATCCACAAGTGGAATCCATTTACATTTGCACAACAACAAAGACCAGTCTTCCATAAATCTAGATTAAACTCAGCAAATTTTTAATTCAATTCTTCCCAACTCTTCATTATTAAACACCCCAAATTAGATACCTTAATGAACATGCAGGGATGGGAACTCTCAAAAATGGCAGGAATCTTGTACAGTGGAACAAATATGTTATCTATCATAAAGAATTGTTTTAGCTTAAAATAAACATGAAAAAATAAAATTGCACAGTCTGAGAAATGAACTCAAAGAAGGCAAACGTCATGGGACCATGCTTCCCGGCCTCTGCGGTATTTCCTCATAGCGCTTTTTCTCTCAGTAAAGATTCAGATTACTCAGTTACTTGCTGAGTTCACTGTCTACAACCACCAAAATGTGATCTCTCCCATCTACCACAGAACAGTTAGCCAAAAGCTCCATTCAGTTATTCACCCACAGCATAGTTAGCAGAGAAGATTGGGGAGAGAGGAATTTCCTTCCTCTCATCTGCACATAATCATCTTCTGTCCTAAAGCATAAATTTTGATTACCCAAATTATTTTAGCTTTCAGAGCCGCAGGGTTATTAGTGGTAATAAAATCATTCAGCCTTATAAAAATTAAAAAAAAGATTCCAACCACAGTATTTAAGAATCTGACCTCATAGCACATCATCCACCCACTGTGTAAAGTAATTTTCTCTTTGCTGCCCATGTGATCCTATTTCACTTCTTTAGCTACAAGTCAAAAAGAAAATGAAGTAATATAACTGACCTCATTAGGACAAAACTTTTGTGATCCAAGAAGGAGGGTCTTTAGTTTTGTTTGTTATAAAGCTAACTGGCCTACATGGATGCCAAAATCAAAAGTTTATCCCTCTTCAAACTGTACTTATACCCAACTGAGAGAGCCAACAACCTTGTAAAATAACAATTCTGTTCTTCTCTCCATAAAGAGAAGTGACATCTTTCCCATACAGCCAACTTTGTTGTCCTCACTGCCTAGATGACTGTGTCTCTCAAGGATTCTGTCCTCACTATCTATGAACCTTTTAGAAGTTTTTCTTCCCTCAACTATTCCTCCTATAACATGCAATAAAATGTATGGTTGATCATGTTCTAATATCTGAACCTTTACAAATCAATAGGCCAAAGTTGCTATTTTTCAATAAGCATCTCACATTTCTAGGAAAATGCATGCTGCTATATCTATGACACAGCTGCATTTTTTGTGCATCCACGTCTATATTAGGAACCAGGAATCAAGGTCACAAAGAGCCCAGTGATGAACACAGAACTTAAGCAGACACTTAGAAAAGAAATGTTCTCAAAGAAACTACAGAAGTGTATACATAATAGGACTCCTCTTTTTTTTTTTAATTCCACATAGATAGACTGGGAAAGAAAATAATAAACATTATGAGCAGCGCAATTACATTTTCCTCTTTATAGTCTCCTACCTTTTTCAAAATATCTACCTTGATACTTTTATAAGCAATTTTTTTGAAAGCATATGAAATACTGGAGAAGAATTTTTTTCCATTACTACTGATTTAAAGCACACATCTGAATTTTAGAGTATTTGATTTCAGAATGATTCGCCCAACATCAATTTGTGGCATACTCAAAAAACAAATTACGGATATTTAAATAAAGATTTTGTTGAATTAAACCACGATGCAAACTGCTTACAGTTAGCGGCTAAATCACCATTTTACTTGAATTTCTCTTTCCATGTTCATGGTCGTACCTAGTCAAGTATTTAACAAATTAGAAGGCATAGCAAAGACTCATCATACATCAATTGTTCTGAACAACTTAATAGTTTTCTTAAGAATGTCACTTTATTTTTCATAATTGAGTAACTCTCTAGGGTATGCACTTTTACCAGACAAAATTCATATTCTCTACTACTAGGAATAAGTGGAAAATGCTAATATATTTTCTTTGAGTCAACTATATTGAAAATTTTGCAAGGAGGAGTAGAATGGGAACAGAAAGAAAATGAAGGAAGCTAATCATTGGTTATATATAGGACACGTATCAAGGATGTTGGTGTAAAGAATGATGCTTTTGATAACAAAAAAGAAAAGAAATTTTCCGAGCTGTTTTCTTAAAAAAAAAAAAAAAAAGCTTATTCAACAGCTGAATTTGAAAAGCAGTTTACCAGTTGTTACAGTAAATATATTCATAGTGAATCATATAACCACTAATTAGGTTTGAATCACTCAAGTGTACATTTGCTGTGACAACAGTTTTCCCTTTACAGATCATCCCTCTATTTATAAAAGAGCTGAAAATTAACATTTCCTGCTTTTGTCAAACTGAAGCATCTTTGAATAGTTCTCAGCAAACATCTGAAGGATTCTTGCATCCTGAGATCATCTGGCCATTATGTTTTCAAGTGTTGTCTCTCTTCAAGAACTGGGTGAGATGCACAGAATAAGTGATTGCAGATTCTTTGTAAAATAGCAACAAGAATACAACAAAAATACCCAGAGGAGAAGAGATCATGGGTTACCATTCATGGCAGATGGGAATCAATGTAAGTTGACAGTGGAAGTTTTCATTCTGTTTTGCACATGACTAACCACAAGCAAAGCCCGAGCCCTAGAGAAATAAAGGCAAGATTGTATAGTTATGTTTTTAATACAGTGGTTATTAGTTGATCCAATTAAAACAGGTTTTTTTCTTCCTAGTTTAATTATTTCTTGGAGAACATAGTTTTAAGAGCTTGTGCCATTCAGATATCAAATAGATCCAAATGTCCACTCATTTTCAAAAGTATTAATCTAAAAGTGGGATTGCTTTCAGATTAATTTTAATATATTATTCCCTAATCCATTTTAACCTACTGTGATATACTGCTATTAATAATGACGCAGTGTTTTCCTCTATGGACACAGTAGAAGGTGCTAAAAACAGGAGGAATGGTCTTGGTCTAGGATGGAATAGATGCTTTCTACTCTGAAGAATAAGTCTAGTTCAGGCCTTGAAATTCACAGTATATTAGGGAATACCTTAATATCTGTAACATAGTTTAGAATCTTGAAGGCATGAATACATAATGCTTCATCATAGGATTTACCCAATTCCCCAAGTGCCAGGCACACAGTATAAAGGAAAACTATCAAGAGGTCTCTTATTTTTCTGAACACCTTTTCTGTGCAACACTTTTCTCATTTCTTATTCTTTCAAGTTTCACTTTCCTTTTTTTCTTCTTAAAATATCCACATCCTTTGCACAACCTCTCTGGGATTAATCGATAATTCCACTATGGAAATCTTACCAACACATTACTCTGAAATTCACCCATAACTCACACATTCTGAATTCACTTTTCAAGGATGATTCTAGTTTGTTGAAGCTCACTGCAATAGTTATCTCCTGTCATAACGCTAGCAATTTTAGCTTCTGCAACACCTTTGCTTCTTCCCATCAAACCTGTACTATTTCTTATCTATGTGACTTGCCTCCATAATAGTTTTAAATTATATCTTGGCTATTAAACATGCTTTTTACCACCTGGAAAGGTTGTCCACTGTAATAAAATTCCATAAAACACATGAGAAGTGAAAGGGAAAAAACATACATACCTAACTAGCCAAGTCAACTAAACCAATTTCACTAATCAAAAGGTACTCATTGTCGTAGCTAAAACACCTTCATAATCAATACCTCTCCCAAATACATACTCTTGGTAGCTCAGGGTTTGCTCTCTTATTACCATAATCATTTTGGTGGATTTATCTGCATTTGGTTAATAGTAAGTGCTTACTATGAAGATTTTGTAACTGGCTGAATATTTTAATATTCTATATAATAGACATTATAAAAGACACCTTATGTCTCAAAACATATACAAGCGAATCTGAAGGATTAACTGACATAGCACTCAGGTAGAAAAAGAAAAGATTTCTATTCTAGTTTGAGTTCTACCTACACTATGTCTCTTTGAGGATAAGGACTTCATTTCCATGCACATAAAACAGACAACTACAAGGAGTTTCTCTGGTGGTTTCAAAGTCTTCTGTAAGATGAAACACAATAAGATATATCAAAGCATTTTGAAAATTCCATCTCAGTGAGCAGTAACATGAGCAATAGTGTAGAACATTCCATCTCATAAACTAATTAGGACAATCATTCTTCTAAAATTACATTTATGTAAGTTTTAGAAGAAAGGGGCTAATGTAAAACCTGTGTGTAATTATGGCAGTTTCCATCATGAGTATGTCAGAGGCTACTATTTCCCACTTTCATAGGAAAACATGATAGGAAATTACAGGATATTATGTGAGCAAAAGATGGGTAGGATTGGGGAGAAGCTGGGTTTGGTTTGTTTTGGTTTGTTTTGGTTTGGTTTTCCTTTTTTGGGTGGACAAAAGGAACATTTCATTCAAGAATTATTCAAGAATTATTCCAAACAGTGGAACAGGGTTTCCAGAATGCAGACAAGGCTCCTCAATTATTTTAAATGGTACTGACCATCAATAATTATTACAAAATTTAAGTAAAAGCATCACTAAGAAAATCTTAATGCTGGAATATTTTTTTGATCCCCAAAGCCATAGTGAATGAGAATGAAGTTTTAAAGTGCTGTAGAGACAAAATAATAAGCTCACAAGGAAAATGCAATTTGTTCTAAGAATTAGCACCAAAAATCCACAGACTCTGTGATTCTGCACCCCTATGACTTTACATTTCATTTGCGAGTTGAGTTGTCATGACACTCAGTTTCCCTAGACTGAGATTCAGAGCTTTACTTATCAATGGAAAAAGCAGTGTGTTTAATAAAACGGTCCTCATTCTGACCATGACATGGGAAGAAAAAGTGCTGTTCTTTTATAGAAACGAAATATAGGATTCTCCTATTCAACTACTACTCTTTCTAAATAAGTGTATATAAGTAGTGCCACTCGTTCATTTAAAAAAATAGTTATAATAAAAAAATTGTTAATGCGCCTGCAGGCATTTTGAGTCAGCAAAACTCAAACAAGCTAATGCCACAGAAAAGGAAATTTTTGCTCTGCCCTCATTTAAAGAGTTAAAAGTGTTCAATTGTAGTACGAAGGAAAAAAGGAGGCAGAGGAAAAGTAGAAGTCGAAGAGAAAAATGAAAAAATCAGAAGAGAAAAGAAAGTGAAAACAAAGAATAAGAAGTAGAAAAAATATCCCAAAGCTGTTACTCATTTTGCTGTTTAACACCACAGACATGTTTTAAAACTGGTTTAAATATATATCTATAAAATATATTTTCCAGCAATTTTTAAAATGTATTCACTAATACAGAAAAGCAACTTCGTCCCAATCCTACAGAACAGCCATCTCACAAACCAGGTAAACAAGAACTGCGGTGTAAAATATTTAAAGTGTTATAAGAAAAACACCAACCTAGACTTCTGTAACCTGTGAAATAATTCTTCAAAAGAGCAGCCTCAGGTGACCAGGCGGCCAGCGAAGGCCCGAAAAAGCGCGACAGCCGCTGTGGAGATGCGACTGCGCCTGCGCACAGGTGTGTCCGCGGCGGGTCCCTAGTGCGCAGGCGCAGTGAGGCGTGCCTACGCCGCCCACCTGCACCGCTAGGTCTGGTTGGTGCAGCAGCTCAGTGGCGGCCTGTGACTGACTGAATGTGGTGAGCGGTCGGCCAGGCCCCAAACGCCAGTATCAGAGTGAGGATTTTGTCAGGCACTGGCCCACTAGCTGTTCACCCTGGGACGCCTTGTCGACAACCTGCCAGCGCTGGGCAGGTAAGAGTGACAAGTCCACTTTCCTCAAGCCAGTGCACATGACCCAGTGCCGGACATTCCTCCAGGACGTGCCGCTCCAGTTCCACCACGCCGTGTTTGAACGCGAACATTCTCAGGAGCTGGAGGGTTTTTGTTGATGCACAAGACTAGTTTGGTATTTCTTCTCAGCATCCTGAAAATGAGAGACATGGGCTGTTCTTGAGACCTAAGGGAAAGCTGCTGTGGAACCTGGTACCTTTCAGCTGTAGGTACTTGTTCCGGCTTCCTGAAGGGATTCCGGCCTCAGGAAGACTTTCAGCTGGGTGTGTCTGTGACAGATTTCCTGGATAATTTCCTGTAAACCAAGTGGACCAGCTGGCTTGTTTTCCCAGTAAGACATGCTGCTGACCAGGAAAGCCACCAAGGGAATTATGGGACATGACTAAGTTGTTTCAAAATTCATTTTAAATGATGGGTGTGGTTGGGCCGCCTTCTCAGCCCCATCAGTTGATCCAGCGCTGAGGTGGGATCACATCTTTGAGCTGTTCATAGTCCCCTCTAGGGAAGATGACCAGTTCCTCATGAAGGACAGGCGGACCTACCAGCATGGCTGACCATCACTGAGGCAGTAGTCAAAATGGAGCTCTTCATTGTCTCCACAATTCTGTTCCTCAACAAAATGGACCTTCTGTTGGGAAAAGTAAAGTTTGCCAGCATTAGCAAGTACCTTCCTGATTTCAAGGGCAACCCTCCAGAGGCTGTTCAGTGTACAACCTAGCACTTCAAAGGGCTCTTCCACTTTATCACTGTCCCAGAAGATGAGAAAATTGGCTTTGTGTTTCACACTCTGAATACCACTGTTCTGCAAGACAATCTGAAAGATTATTATGTCGCTGTGAAAGAGGAGGCCTCTTATTGTTTTCTTGTTAAATCGCCATTGCTGAGATCTTACTATGTACTATCGTTCTGGTTCTCAGTGAATTTCTCAGAATCATGCCATTCAGCACCTGGCACAGGAATGCTGTAAAGCCAGCCCCACTGACAGCCCTCTAGGTAAAGGGCCGTGGAAACATAGATGTTACTTACTGAATCCTGGGAACTAGTAATACTATCGAAAATTCAAATGGTCGCTTTGGTTTTCATTTGTAATTCCCAGCAACACGCTTTTCTTTCATTTACAGAAACTTTATTGCTTTTCTGACACAAGTTAATACAGGAGTATGGTTATGTGTATATATGCCCATGCGCTGTCTTTAATGACAGAAACATAAAAATCAATTGACATTGCAAATGACTTTCCCATCTGGTAACTCATCTTCTGATATTTGGCTGCATTTAGCTTTTGCTTCTTTTGGAAATAGTAAAGAGCTTCATATTCCTCTTAGGGGCTTTGGAAGCCTGGCAAACTGACAAGCAAATCTTTTGTTAATGCCACAGCTGCTTGGTGAGTTCCCAACAGCTGACCGTTCAGGAAGCCCACAGATTCTGGAGATATCTGAATTTCTCCCAACTGTCTCTGCATGGACAAGTGCCTATGGACTGCTGTTCCTGATTTTCAGCTCTCCTTTAAGTCTTGATTCATGCCAGTTCTCTGCTATGAACTCTATAAGGCAGCTCTCATCTGGGTGAAACTACAGAAGACTGAATGTTGATATGAATTGGTAAGTCTTACACTAAAAGTTAACTGGGCCAGTTACCTGCCTCATAGTTCATAGTATTTAAAAATACATTACATTCAAAATGGGATGGGGGGGGGTCAGTGAAGGATAAATACTTTATTAGACAAACAAAAATAGAGGGAATTTGTTGCAAGTAGACATGCCTTATAAGAAATGTTTTTTTTAAGATGTATTTATTCATGCATACAAGAACCGGGGTACAGGCCAGATGTGCGGGAGAGTGAGGGGATTTACCAGAGATGTAGCTGGGAGCAGAACAGGCTGACTGATTGAAATACACTGCTGAGGGGAGCAGCAGGCGAGACAGGAGAGGTCTGCCGCGCCATGTGGGTATCTCGCTGGCCGGAGGGGATTGAACCAGCACTGCAGAGGCTGTGGACAGCTGCACAGCGCTGTGCTCAACCGCCTCCACCACCAGGGGAGTCCCCTTATAAGAAATATTAAAAGATTGTTTAGAAAGAAGGATACTAAAGGAAGAGTATCAAAGGTATTAGTGAAATTAATATAAAGCTTATGCAACATGTTGACTTGTGCCATTATGAATTGTCTTAGGTGATACTTGACTAGACATACTCTATAACATATAAATGAAATAGATGAATTATGAAAGTGAAATAATTCTGTAGAATTAAAAGAATTTTGTTTGGCAGGGCATTTGCTTATGGCTTCCCATTAGACCGAATATAAACATGTTAGGAAGTGTTAAATGTTTCTCAATGGTTAAATTTCCCTCAATATGTGAATAATCAAAAAGTATTACGATTACTTGAAGCAGATAGAACAAGACTTCAGGGACCTACTTCCTAATATGCTGCTAGTATATTTTACTTTGTTGGTATTGTTACACTCTGTGGTGTGCTAGTTAATATTTAACAACCAGCTCTTGTAGGCCAATTTGAGCCCCTTCCAGCACATTCTTCCTTTAAGTCAAAGGAGTTCAAACTTTCATTGCTATCATTTTGCCTATTACTGACAAAGCCAAAGTTTTTTCAACAATGTATTCATCAAGATAGTTTCAAGCTTTGATGAACCACCTAATTAAGTGTAATTTAATTAGAAATCAAAAGTGAAGTCAACAGTGTTGCTCTACTAAAACAGATTTTAAGTCTCTGGGATTTCAGAGACTCAGATTTAAATCCTGCTAATTCTAAGAAGACGTGATTTTGAGCTTGTCACTTAGCCTCACTAAACCTTTTTTCCATAAGTTTAAATTGAAAATAATACCAGTCCTGCTTCTTATTGTTGCATAAAGATTAAATTAAATAATTCATGTAAAGTACATCCAATAATCACTGTATGTGCATGGCCCACAAAAACACTCAAACTCTATCAGCAGTTTTTATTCTTTGAGAAGAAAAGTATTTACAGTTACTAACATCTCAAGTAGTAGTTACTCTCCTATATAAAAATGAATTCACTTTTTTGAGTTATTTATAGTTAAATTTATTCTCAAAAGTGAATAAGTACATTTAATTTAAAATTAATAATATTATTATTGTATATTCATTAAAATTTCATGTAATTATTGGAAACATACAGTATATAATGGACTCATATAGAAGAGACAGCAGTTAAGATTTAATAAGTGAAATTTTAAATAATCACTTATAGAATATATAATTAAATTTGAGATCCCTCATTTTTAAATCTATCTATAATTTCTATTTACTAGAGACAAAGTAAGAAATTGTATGCTTTGTGAACATTTAAACAAGTAGAATTATTTTTAGAAATGGATGACACGGGGTAAGTCTTATCAGAGACAGTCTCCTGCCTATTAGAAAATCATAATGCAATCAGGAGATTCTGCTGACGTTCTTCTCTGCGTTTTCTCCTTTTTCAATAATCAAGGTCATTATTTAATGATGTCAGTGGAGACTCCCTTTTCTCCCTGCAAACACTGACGATAAATGGCAGGTTTGTTCATGTGTTGTCACAAAGGTCAGTGTGTAATTGGAATCACAAATAATACCTATGTGATTTAATTTGATCTGTCGGTAATTTGTCTTTTTTGCCCCCTTATTTGTGATTTTGCCAGGTAAATAGCATAGTTTCATTTCATTTCATTGAAGCATTCGGTCACTCAAATAGCTAAATCATAAATTTCATGAAGGCACCACAAGTAGCTTGTTTACAGAGTTTTCCCCAGCTGTTCACATACTGCCTGGAACATAAGTGGAGTAGATTTAATAAAGGTTTCTCAAGTAAATGAAAGAGTCAGGGAATGAGGACAGGAGGGAAGAGAAATAAATGCAAAATTATCTTTAGAGACTACTACATTTGTTCAGAATGGACCTTTCTTACTTCTGGTCAACTCCTTTAATTTTCCTTCTTATTACTTCTTACAGTTTGAAATTACATTTTTATATGATTACTTAGTAAATGCCTATCTCCTCCACTAGCCTATTTTGCTCAAATAATACTTCCCACTTCTAGCACAGCTCCTGGCACATAAGAGGCACTCAGTAAACACTCATCAAGGAATGGAATGCCTCCTGTTTAGATAACCTGATTAATTAGTACATATAAGAGATACATAAAGGATATAAAAATATGCAGAAAATACCAATGTCCATTGACAGGATAAATGGATAAAAATATATAAAAGATAAAGATATAAAAGCTCTAAGTTTCTACATCCCCTTCTTTTCTAATTCCATTTAGATTTTTTTTTTTTTAAAGATTTATTTATTTATTTATACAAGCACTGGGCACAGTCAGAAGCACGGGAGGGTGAGAGAATTCACCAGAGCCAGAGCGGGGAGCAGAGCAGGCAGAAGGACCGAAGCACATTGCTGAGGGGAGCAGCAGGCAGCAGGAGAGGTCTGCGCGCCATGCGGGACCCTACTCCTGTAGCCGGGAAGCAGCAGGGGATCGAACTGGTGCCACAGAGGCTGCGGGCAGCTTCACAACCCAGCGCTCAACCACTGCGCCACTGGGGAGGCCCATTTAGATTTTCTTATTCCAGAAACAAAACCCAACCTTTTGCTGTCTCCAGGAAACACATTTAGCTACAAAAGATAAAAATAGGCTCAAAGTCAAAGGATGGAAAACAATCCTACAAACAAATGGGCCAAAA